AATGGGATTATTTCGCAGTAACAGGTGGAAGCCTGAGCCACGTGTAGGTCCTTTCTCAAATGTTGCATGTGTTTTAATTCCAGTGAAAAAGTGATTAGAAGAACCCCCACGAGCCTGTTTCCAGCCCGTCCGTGACAATCAGTGCCCTTTGCCTTCAGCGTGCTTTCCCTGGAAATTCACGGGAGCTGTTCTGCGGTGCTCCGTAACACGTGGGCCCGTGGTGGTGGTCTTGAAGTGGGACAGATGATTTTTCATAGTCTTTGAATATTCTCATTTCCCCACTTGCTGCAACAGTAAGAGTTGGGCTGATTTAACCACCTTTTGGTGTTTTGAGGCGGTTTTACATAAATCGGTGCCCTGGTTGGCTCTGGTTTGCTTACTGCTATTTTCCCAAGGAACCGAACGTGGATTATTTCTGTCAGAGTGTCGCTGCCTCTCAGCTGACTGTCCCACTAAGCTTCTCCCTGGTCAGAAGAGCTCCAGGAAGGTTTAGGTTACTGGCGGATTCAGTGCATCCTTCCTGCATCCTTTTCTTCCCCATCCTTCCCTTCATTTGAATGTTTTCAGGTGCAACCTAGCTCGGGGTCATAGGGGAGGGAAAGGGAGGTGTAACCAGGGTGTTCCAGAATTTGTGCAGACAAACTGTTGGAGAATCTGTTTACTGTCTTTGCCTCGTATTGACTTGCCGGTGGTTTTGATGTGGGCAACTTCTTTGCAAAAGATCTTCTAAACAGTTTGGTTTTTTGTTTTGTTTTTTAATCGTTTAGCTTTCTGAGCTGATACTTCTCATTTTCCAATTCAGCAGGCAACCTAGATCGTATCTGAAACGCTGGGTAAGTCTTTCAACCACACTATGTGTAAAGGTTTCTCTGATGTGTACGTCCCTGAATGCTCCACTTTGCAGTTCACTCACCACTTTTGATGTCAATAACTTGTCTTGAAAATCTCAACAGTTTAGTCCCAATTTACTCATCTACGGTAACCGTGTTGTATTTTATTTGCCTGTTGGATTGTTAGGGCAAGTCGAATTGCACACTGCTGGCCTGAGCGAGGGAGGACGGGGCGAGCTCGGTCAGGCGTGAGGCTGATGTTCCGAAGTGACCGTTACCAAATCAGCTCCTGCAGGCCTGTGAGGAAGGGGTTAATCAGTGGAGCTTGGCCCATGAACTCCTGCTGGTTTGGCTGGAGTAGTTCAAGAATTACTGCAGGCTTTGTGAGCAAAAGTGTGAGAATGACTCACAGCTTTGGTACCGAATCCACTGATCAACTCGGATTTGCGGGAGCTGGTTTTGAGGCGCTTCACCAGACTTCGCACGGAAGCAACTGGGAGGAGATCACTTCTCCATGCCGCCGGCTGCGCTGTGGGGGGGTGGTGTGTCAGACCACCACAGCTCTGTCAAACCCCTGGTGTCTGTCGACAGACACAGGCCATTTGAGGGGAGAAGTGCCGGGACGATGGTTTCAGCTGGCGTGTGAGCTAAGCAGTGCGGGGCAGCGTGCAGCACGGGTGCGGGGCCAAACGTGTGGTCTCTCTTTTCCTAAGCAAAATCCATCCTGCACTTACCTCGAGAGCTCTTGGCTGACATGACCTACAAGCTGTGTGGTTGACTAAAAACATTCCACTCCAAGTCCGTGTCGGAACAGCTTGGTGCCCGGACAGCGTAAGTGGGGAATGCCAGCGGTGGTTCTGTGTGGGGTGCTCCGCGTCCGTCTGCTCTGCGTGCATGGTGAGCCGTGGGTACTGGGAACAGCACTCGGTTGCTCTAACTGTTGCTATGCCAATTCCACGGAATTTTTGAGGGTTTTTTAAGCGGACCAATTGCACTACACCCAGGTTTTGACTGACAAGTCTAACTGTCCGGTTTATCCTATGCCAGTGTTCAGAAGAATTGCATGATTGACTCTGGCTGTAGTTCAGCCCACTAACCTGTGAATCACGTAACAAACCCCGTGTGACCCTTGGCTGCCATGGCTTGCTGGGCGTTCAGAAATGCTCCTACAGACAAAAGCCTGGGAATTCCTTCAGTGTGTTTGTAGCAGCTAGTTAAGTGTCAGTAAGATCTAGTGTGTATTCAGCGTTACAAGGCTGACTTCTGGCCTTCCTAATCTAGAAGGACATCAGGGGAGATTTTCCTTCTCCTTACGACAATCATACCTCTGTACCTGTGCTGAACACGTGCCACGGACACACGTTTCCTGTCCTGTCCTTGTGCTCCAGGTGTTGGTGGGGTCGGATGCACCCTGCCCAGCACTCGGCGCTCGCCGTAGTGATCTCCGGGTGCCGTGTGTGCACGTGGTGTTTGGTCGCTGACCGACCCTGGGTGTGTGTGGGTGCTCTTAGGAGGACCCCCTTGCTCGTAGGATGCCACTCCAGAAGTGACAAAACATGCCAGGTTTTTAGCATGCATGATGAGTAACTATGCCGAGCGTTCTGCTGTGCTATTTCAACGTAACTTTTCTCCGTTACAGTAAGTGCTAAAATCAGAACTTTGGGCTCGCCCTGTGTGTCGCAGAATAGACTGGGTGCTACTGGCAAACTGAGTCAGAGAATTGCAACTTTTTAGGTTGTTTTTAACACAGCCTTGTAATAGTACCTTGTAACATCCTGTGGGCTTAAAAAAGCACGCTTGAAATAAGTGGTTTATGGCTTAGATTTATTTTCAGCTGTGTCCACATTGTGTTAAGGTATAAATCGTACCTCTAATTTGACAGTCCTGGGTGGAAGTCTGATAAAACAGGTGCTTCTGAGGATCTAATCCTAATTCTAATCCGAATGTAAAGTGTGCAACTAACGAGATGTTTGAAGACCATTAATAGTCAGATACTCCTCGTAGGTCCGTGTCGCTCTGGATCACGGCAGCTGTACTCTCCTGTCCATAGTAATGTAGACTTCAGCAGGTTGCTTGGAGAAGCAGCGCTCCTGTACGTACTTCCAGGAAGGTAAAGTAGTGTGTGTGTATAGGCTGTTGGAAACGAATCCTACTGTAACGGTCTTTATCTTAAATACACTGTACTAAAGTTTATTGTAATAAGTGAATTAATGAAAATAAACCTTTTATTTCTCTAGCATTCTCTTGTACCATTGATTTTTTTTAAGTTGCTGTGTAGGCTGTGGCCGATACGCACCATTTTGTGGTGCCACAGAATGGAAGTTTTAAATATTAATTATTCTTTTGGCCTGTACGAATTGTTTTTATTTTGAAATAAGCGAATACATTTGGTTGCTGCTCAGAAGACTTTATTAGCTACGTGGAGCTGTTTACATAGGCAGGCTACTTGTCGAAGCAGTGAACCTGACTTCCCTCACGTTGGCCATGTAGTAGTCTCGCCTGCCAGCGTACTCCCTGACGTTAGAGAGGCCTGGCACCACGCAGCAGCTCAGGGCACTACGGTGGATGTTCATATTTTGGACATCGTGCCACTCGTTAGTGTTTTCATCGTAACACTCAACCTTGAAAGTAGTAGCAGAGCCGTTGAAGCCACCAACCACGAACAAAAGGTCATCCACCACTTCGATGCCAAAGTTGCTGCGAGGGTTGAACATGGTGGGCACTGCGTGCCACGTGTTGGCGACAGGGTTGTAAGCTTCCGCGGTCGGAAGCCGTTCGACTCCGTCAAATCCTCCTACCTGTGAATGCCAAAGGAACAGGGTTGAAACAGGCTTTTCCTCACCGCCCGCGCCAGCCAAACCATTTCACCCACAAGCGAGGTGGTAACTGGTCCTGCCTCGCCGACTCCAGTCTCAGCGTTGCTGGGAGCCTGCGATGGCCGAGCACAATGCTCACTGCAGACTGCTCCCTTGTTCTTTCTGGAGCTTCCAAAAGCAGTTTGTAAAATCTGGCAGCTGCACGCTTCTATTTAATGTAAATAGATTATTTAAATGCAGTACACGGATGGGATGAACGGGACTGAGCAAACATCCCGTGCTGGTAACGCCGTTAGCAAGTACCGGCCAGCCCGAAAGCGCAGGGCACGCTGACCAGCAAAGTCGGTGCCAACGTGCTGGGTGGTGCGACGGCAGCGGGGCTGCCTCTCCCTTACCGCGTACACGGCGTTTCCGTACGCCATCACTCCCACGCCGCTCCTCCTGCTTCTCATTTGGGCTATAAGGGTCCACTGGTTCGTCGTGACATCGTACGCTTCCGCTGTCATCAAGCACTCGTTCCCGTTGAACCCGCCACATATGTACACCTGTTTGCAGGAGAAACAGTGTGAGCAGAGCAGTGACACTCTTGGTGGGAGAACACGTTGAGGAGAAAATGAATGGTGGTGGCTGGATTTTGGGGTTTTTTTCGGTTGTTTTTTTTTTTTTAATGGGAATGGTCATCCTGGGTTTGATATATTAAAAGTGCAGTGAGTTCTTCAGGCCAGCAGGATTTAGACCCTTCATTTCCCGAACCGCACGAGGCAGATGGGAATGGTATTCGACCTGTGCAGCAGCAAGTGGGCTGTCGGTGGTACCAGCTCTGGAAGAGTTCTACTACTCCTGTCTGCATCTCCACCACGGCAGCCTCTGAGAAAGCTTTATGTCTGTAGCTCCTGGATTTAATGAATAAGGTTTACATGATCTTTCTTCATCTTAAATGATCCATCACGTTAAAGGGAGCATTTGTTACCTTTCCTGCTCACACAGCTCCTCTTTCCTATCTCGATGACAAACTGGGAGCAGTAGCTGTGTTTATCAGGCACACAGCCCAGCAAGAGGCTGAGCTCCGTGCAAGTCCCTGCCTCCCTGCGTGCCGTGGGGAAGGACAGGCACTCACGCGCTGCGTCCTGCTCCGTACTGATGCCTGTTTGGTTCCCTGTCCTGCGCACCGCACTTGAACCTTGGCTGCTTTCAGTACTCTCACAGTCCGTTTACCTTTCCGTGCAGCGTGGTGGCACTGGCATCGCTTCTCTCCTCGTGCATGGGGGCGATCAGCGTCCACTGGTTTGTCTCTGGCTTGTACCGTTCCGCTGTTCTGAGGCGGGAGTGACCATCAAACCCTCCCATGGCGTAGATGAAGTTGTCGAGAACGGTGACGCTGACGTAGCAGCGCCGCGAGTGCATGGGTGCAACCTGCTGCCACACTTTCCGAAGCGGGTGAAACCGCTTGACGCTGTTGAAATAATTCGTGCTGTCAAATCCTCCGATAACGTAGATAAATCCTTGTAAATAAGCCGTGCCGTGATAGGCAAGGGGGCTTTCTTGCTCGCAGGTGACGTTCATCCACTTGTCCGCACGGTTGTCGTATATCTCGATAGCGTTGGTTGGGCTCTCCGTGCTCCAGCCGCCGATGGCGAACAAGACGGCGCAGGGCAGGCGAGGCTGGCTGAGCGGGTTGGCGAAATCATAGTAAGACGGGCCGTGCATGTTGAGGTTGTACATTTCCGTCAGCGTGTCTCTGATGAGAGGTTTGCAATCCTTGTTGTCCTTCACGTAATCGTGGGTTTTGACTTTGTTCATGAAGTAATCCGCATCCATCAGCGCCAGTCGGACCTGAAAAGTGCAAAAAGGAGGTGAGAACGTTAACGTAGCTGTCCTTCCTGGGTAGCTCCAGTGCTGGATGGCTTTGCTTTCAGGCTACAGTGTTGGCTAAAGCTTGTTAGAGAATCAGAGAATAAAATGTGTAGTTTTTAGCTAGTCCAGAAAGGGGTGTGCGAGGGGAAATCATTCGGTTCCGTGGCAGGGAGTCTGCCGCGGCTTCGGCACGGTGCTTTCCTGCATGGAGACTGAAACTGCCCTAACGCCCGCTGCTGTTTGCCCAGTTCTCCTTGTGCGGGCAAACGCTCGTCAACTTTGTGTGCGTAGAGATCACCTCGTCCCTTTGGACTCTGGCCCTTCCTGGACGTGAGGAACGGTGAAACTTCAGCGCTAACATGAGGAAATGTGCACTTCCAGGGTCTGCCCCAACCCCAGATCCCAGCGCAGGATCTTGGAGCCGTGCCCCAGCGTAGCACTGGCCTAACGACCTGAAAGCTCGCTGCTGGAGGCCGCCGTTTCCTCCGGTCTCACAAGGAAAGCAAAGCGGCTCTGGCCCAGCGAGAGCCGCCCGGGCCCGCGCCGGGACGGCACTGACCTTGCTCAGCAAGACGGCGACGTGCTGCCTCCTGTTCTGCGGGTCGTGGGCGATCCACTTCATCACGGCCTCGAACACGATGTCTTCTTGCCTCACGTTGAGTTCGTCCTTCTCAATGATGTACACGAGCTCGTCGATGGAGAGGTCTAGAAATTCTGTAGACGCCCTCGTCATCTCCCCGAAGTGGTGGAAGATGAACTCGAAGGCGGCTTCTCGCAGGTCGGGACAGTGGTAGTGATCTGTGAATCTGCAGATGCCGATGCAATTTTCCAAGCAGAGCTGGGATTTTAAGAACTCGCAGCACAGCCTGATTATGCCCATGATGTTGAACTGGTCTGCTGCGATTAGCAAACTCTCAACGTTGTCAGCCGTGACTGGGATTGTCCTGGTGTAGGCGTACTCGATAATGAGCTTCATAATTTTGGGTGAAGTGCCGGGGATATTATACACTATCTTCTCTGCATTGTTCCAGCTGCTGGTGAACAAAGCCCTGAAAAAACAAAGCAGTGCTGGGGGAAAACAGCTTTGCTGCACGAAACCCTGACCCCGTTATCCCCTGTGCCTTCTTCCCCAGGCACCAAGTTGGGCACCAGCAGTAGCCATGTAGTTAATTAATGTTTTACTAACTGGTTGTTTTAAAAAGGAGTCACAGCCTTTGGCTGTGGACAGAGAGCAACAAGGCGAGCGATCACCTTGCTTCACCAAGAACACCAGAGGACAGTGGTGCGTGGGGAAGGAAAACTGCCCGGAGCTGGGCTGCCCTGCACCGCACCGGGCAGAGTGTCAGACACCACTTCCAGAGCTGCTCTTAGGTATTAAGTTGGAGATTAATTCTGGTGTCCAGGCAGGTACCAGGACTACGTGTTACTGTTGGATGGGAGTTTTAACGCTGACGTAAGTGCTGGAGATACACTGAGGCAGCGTGATGCAGACCAGGAAATCCCCTGGTGCTTCAAGTACTGACCTGAAATACTGACTGCAGCTACAGAGGATGTTCTTGTGAGCCTTGAATTCATTACCGTCCACGTTGATGATCACGTCGCAGAGCTTCCCCTCCAGCCGAAGCTCATTGAAGACAGCGCAAGCCATAGCACTCATCTTCCTCTCCATGTGTGCTGAGTATCTGGTGGGCACGGGGCTATCGCCCGCATTGAAGCCCCATGCAGTGGAAGGTGCTCCTCTCTGAAGTGCTGCGGGGCTCTGCCCCTGCCCTCCAGCATCACCCCTGAAACCCTGTGGGGTTCTGGAATGTACCTCATGATGACATCACAGGTGGGGGCACGGACCCTCTGCAGGCAGTGGGGTCCTGGTCCTCCTGGCCCCCTCGCTCCATGGCTGCCTCCAGCCTTCACTTAACCACAGCCCCCGTACATCACCCTGTTGATGGCTGCTCTGAGCAAAACCAGCCTCATGATTCCTCTGCAACTTTTCCGTGTTATTTAGCCGGTATAAAGCTCCCCAAGGCAGCGGCTGCTTCTGCAGCGCCTGGTACAGCTCGTTTTCCGGGGGGCCAGCGGAGGGTAGGGATGAAGCCACAAATACTCCGTCACTGCCGTTCATTTGGAGGGGTGGAAGGTGCCACCCGGGGCCAAGGAGAGGAGAGCGGGGGGACAGCGAGCCCCGTCCCGACTCCTTGCTGCCTTCACTCATGGCCAACTGCTCTTCCTCTGTGCTTCGCCATGTCTGTTGGAGCACCTCTGCGAGGGCCTCAGCGCTGGGAAACAGTTCAGCACTGGGAAACACTTGGGACTTTTTCGCGTTACTGTGGGTGTGAAGTTTTTTCAATTAAATGAGTTTTGCGCTAACGCTGGGGGAGGCGTGGCGGCAG